GACAGATTTAATATCCGCGGAACTTTACCCTATTCCGACGAAATTTTTTTTTAAAAAAAAGCTAAATCTAAAAAAACATGGAACTCACCTAACACCCCCCCTAATTCTCTTTCTTTCCTATTTTCTCTCCACGCCCCTCTTCTTCTTCTCTCTCCTCTCTCCTCTCTTCTTTCTCTTTCTTTACCTATCCTCTGCATATCTGCCTGTTCTTCTTCTTCTTTCCCTTTAATTTCTCAGCCCTCCTTCTCTTCTCATCCCTCATTCTTCTCTTCTCATCCCTTCTTTTTCCCCCTTTCTCTTTCTTCTCGATCTCCTTATCACTCCTCTTTGCAACACCACCACCACTACAACAATCATCGTCCGCAACAACCGCCAAGAAGAGCACCACCGCAACAACCACCGGCTATATCAAGACCAAGCAAGAACACCACCACTGCAACAACCTCCGACAACACCAACACCGAAAATAGATCTACATTTAATTGTGTTTAGAATTAGATCTAGTTTTATTTTGTTCAAATTTTCAATGTATAACTTTTTGTTTTTGAAATAATTGTATATTTAAGTTAAATTTCTGCTAAATTTCGAATTGCTAAATTTCAATGTATATTTTTGTTAAATTTCGAATTGTGTTGATTTTAGATCTATTTATTTAATTTTCAATTTCTGTCTTTTATTATATGTTATGAATTTTGATTATTTTTTTTTTCACGGGTTAGGGGTTTTTTTGGTGGGTGGTGAGGTGGGTTCGGGTTGGTGGGTTATGGTGGGGTAAACCGGATTATTGGCGGTGGTGGGTTAAGGGTGTGGTTAGGCGTGGGTGGTTAGGGTGTGGTTAGGCGTGGTGGTTAGGCAGTGCTGGGTTAAGGGTGTGGTTAGACGTGGTGGGTTAAGGGTGTGGTTAGGCGTGGTGGGTTAGGGTTTGGGTTAGAGGGTTTTGGTGGGTTAAGGTGTGGTGGGTTACAGTGGTGGGTTAAGGTGGTGGATCTAGTGGGTTAGGGTTAGGGGGTTAAGGTGGTGGTTTACAGTGGTGGGCTTGGTGGGTGAGGGCGAGGTAGGATTTTTCCTTTTTTTTTCCGGCAGGTTCCGACGGATTTGATTCCATCGGAAGTTTCCGACGGACTATTCCATCGGAAGGTAAAGTATAACGACGGAAACAGTTCCGTCGGAAGTTTGCGACGGAATTTCCAATTAAGTCAAACTTGACTCCGACAACCATAAATCCGTTGGAATGGGCCTTTCCGACGGAATTTCCCTTGGAAGATCGCGAAATTCCTACAAAAGGTAATGCGACGGTGCCTTTCGAAAGAATTTCAGGGTTTTCCGACGGATTTTTTCCGTCGTTGATTGGCTGTTTTCTAGTAGTGTATATTCATCTTATTATGTATTATTTTTTTTTTACAGAAATTCCTTATGGAGCTTGTAACAACATCTACAAACCTAGTCTTGGCATACATATATTTCAATCAAAAACATGAAGCTACCATCAAGTATTTTCCAAACAATGAGAAGATACAAAAGCTGAAGAAAGATGCCATGAGCATTTTGTGATGAGCATAAGATGAGCTTCAAAACTTTGACTGAAGATAATCCTCTTTCATTTAGCCAAGATGAACAGTATTGGCAAGATCCGGCAGTATTTGAAGCCTGGGATAGGTTTTCAAAGATTTTATGCAACAACAAGCATGCTGAATCTACAATCAATGCAAGGGTTGATCATCTAAATGAATCAGAACCCATTGATGTTACTAAGATTGCTGCTGAATTTGTTCGCATAGCAACCGGTATCGCAAATGTTGGATCTCCATCCGTTGTCTTAGAGCCTAGGGTTGCTGAACATGTGTTTAGATATTGTTTAAGAAGTTCAGTTGCCAAAGGATCTGGAACTCCTACATTCAGTTTAGGAATCTCTTCTCAAGAAATTGATTCTCAAGAGAAGTCCCCTAACATTGCACCTACTAATGAACTTGTAGTTGCTCCTCCCAGTGTACAAGTTGGAGCTTCTGCAATAGCTTCTATATCAGTTGTTGCTGCTGTTGCTGATGCTCTGAATGCTCAAGAAGATCCAGTTGTGCTTAAGAGAAAAGGAGATACTGAAAAGGAGAGTTCTATTCCAAAGAAGAAGCGTAAAGTGCAACCATCGTTGCAGATTAGATCTCCTTTTAAGTCTCGGATTAAAAACATTTACACACCATTAACAACAATTCAGAAAGTTATTATGGATTCAGTTTTTCATGAGAAGAAAAATCGTTTGTAATTATTGTTTCGGGGTTTTTTGATGTCCTACGGGAGAGTTACAATTCCAAGACTAGCTTCTGGACGCCTGTACCTGCAAAACAACGGAGACTTTGGTGGGTGGGAGTTTTGCCTCCGATGATCAAGTTAGAACGTGTATGAGGAGTAAAGTTCAAAAGGTAAAGGTCTCTCTCGGATTCCAAGACAGTATCTGCAATGTGTAATTGCTCAGTTCGAGGTGTCAGGTGTCTGACTTTCTCTAATGGAGAGTTAATGTGAATTAAATATTTTTGAATCCCGTTCCTCAGAGGGAACATTTCCCTTTTATACGGTGTTAAAAACGTGTCCAGTACTAGGTTTTAGTAAACTTGAGGCTGACCGGGCTTTGCCTAGGAATTTGGGCCTTAGGAGGCCATTTTCCTGATGGGCTATCTTTCTGCCACGTGTCATGGCCTGATTGGTCCACCTTGGACATCTCACAAGGTGACACGTGGCAGACTCTTGTTGGTCCACGTGGATGACACGTGGTAGGACTTGAGTTGTTCACGTGGCGGGGAAAAATCCCCTAATCATTTGCCCCTCACAGGGGTGACGTGGAATGCCACGTGGCGCCTATGACAGGTGTCACGCCATGATTGGCTGACGGTTTTTTATCAGTTTTTTTTTTACCCTTGAAATTCTCTCCCTATAAATAGGGGGTGTCCAAATCATTTAGACATTCTAGAAACTTTTTAAGACAGAACTTTGGACGCCTGCTCTGACATTTTGGACGACTGCCGCTTGCTTTCAGACCGCCTATACTCAGACCGCCTTCTTCTTCAGCCGCCCAGTTTTTCAAAGGTTCCAAGAATTTTTCTCAAAGGTAACCGCCTGTTCTCTTTTACTTTTCTCTTTGCTTTTCTTTTTTCAAAAATGGTAGCCTAAAAGCACGCGGCACGACCTAGGTTAGTGATCACCCGGTCACCGGGGACGGCTGAATCTAGAACTAGGAGTGTCGGCTGCCCCTTGCTGGACCACCCTTTGCGAACTGCCCGGAGTCCGACTGTCTATGTGTCTGTGCAAGACACCATGGCCAGAACAAAGAGAACGACCCTAAATAACAAATTCAGACGATTCCTCATTTTATGCGCCCATTAGTGAGATCTCGGATGTGCCACCAGGCGTCCTAAGCACCCAAAGTGATTCTATTTTGGTAAAATCAGGGGAGGAGGTACAGAATGACCCTCCTATCATTGATCTATCTAGGTAGGCGACTGCTTTGCCCGAGAGCTCGAGTGATGACTCTGAGCCCAGCACCTCCAGTCGGTACTCTGATGACTCGGAGGAGAAGCACTCTCGGCTACATACAGCGAGAGAAAGCCATGAGGCGGAAAAAGGGGAGAAATGGGCAGAGCCGGCTGCAACCCAAAGGGAAATGTACACCCCTTACTTTTGCCATGTTCCCAAAGGCAGGTGCAAGGCCATGTCTGAAAAGATTGGGAGTTTTAGGGCTGACCATGTAATGGGTCATGGTTACATTCTTACGGTGCCGGATGCGGAGGATACGGTAGTCTGGCCAGAGAAAACCAACTATAGGGAAGAGTTTTTTGGCTGCTATGAGGCGGCCATTAAAGCTGGTTTAAGATTTCCTCTACATCCGGCTGTAGAGAGGATTTTAGATGGGTACCAGCTAGGTCTCTAGCAACTGGCCCCAAACCCATGGTTCAACATCTTAGGCTATGTTGTCGGCTGTGAGATGTATGAGGTGGAGCCAATCTTTGAAGCTTTATCTCACATGAACTACCTCAGTCGGACCCCAAAAACAAGCGGGATCGGCTGGTTCAAGCTAACTAGCCACAAGGGCTACATGATGACCATGGGGAAGGAGAACAAGTGGAAGGAATGGAGGAATACCTTCTACATAGTCTCCCACCCTGACAAGGTCAAGAACAAGAAGTACAATAGGTGGAACAGGGATCCACCTTACTTGACAGGCGGATTTGACCTGCCGCCTGTTCCTCGAAGAGCCAAAGAAGAGATCCTTGACCGAGGGCTCTTCAAAGTTATTATTCAGGCGAACTTCGAGACTGGGGTGAGGGAGTTCATCCTTTAAAATTACATCCCAAGGTAACTGGTTATACGATGGGACATATCTGGCTGCCTACGGCCTTAGCGAGGAGATGCTGAGACGTAGTGAACCTCCTGTTTAGAGTGTCTTGTTAGACTTGGCTGATTCTGTGTGTAACCATTTGATTCATCTTTTTCAAATAAAGCTATGGACAAGATCTCGGCCTCCAAGAAAGCAGCCGCCTTACTTCGCGCTGCCATTCTGAGCAAGCGATCCAGTGAGGAGTCGCCTGCCAAACAGGCGCCTAGGGTGAGTTACTTTAACTTAGCACAATTTAATTTTTATATATGTCGCCTGTTTATAACTCAACAAATTGTGTTGCAGAACTATGTAGCTAGACCTTTCTCTTCTTCCCAGCTGGACCCCAAGGTCAGGAAGCAGACGACCGAGGATATGTCAACTCCTGGCAACACTAGGAGACAGGCGGCCGAAAGGCAAGGAAGGACTCCCCAAAGCGGAGGAAGGACTCCGGCTACCCCTGGGAGCAGTCGGCCCTCTAGAGAGAAAGAGGCGGCGAGAGGTATAACTCGTTCAAATTTTCCAACTTTCATCAAGCAACCGTCTCCTCTGAAATCAGGCGGCTTGTCTTCTGTTATTGTGCCGCTTATTAATAAAGGTCTACTTTGCATATGCCCCTCAAGAGCCGGACCTGGTTCAGATGGCCAAGTCCATGCTGAAGGTCATTCCTGTTGAGGACAAGGAGTCTGTTAAGGGAGTCGACACCCTTAACCTTGAAGCCATCCTAGCTCTCCTTGCCGAGGTATACTTAGTAAAAAGTTATCTTTTTTCATTTAAACATTTTTCCTTATCGCCTGTGACTAACGACTGTTTTTGGCCGGCTACAGTCTATGCTGCGAGTGTACGGTCTCCGCAAACCCATCTCCGGAAAGAACAAAGAGGTAAAAGTTGCAAAGGCCATGGCCGCCTCTGATTCTGATAAAGCTATGTTCCAAATAGCTCAAAATGAGATTCTGACCAATGACATACTGTATTACCAGGCGTCAGCCACTTTGCAGGTCAAGAAGGACTTAGAGGCGGCCAGACAAAAGATCTTGGAGCTGGAGAAGTCTGTAAAGAACCTTAAAGCTGAGGTGGCGCCTCTCATGGAGGCGGACAAGGAGGCCAAGGGACTCCACAAGCGGGTGAACAAGCATAGGGGTCGCCTGCAGAATCAAGAGAATGACCTCACCCAGAACTTTAACGAGAAAGCTAGCGAGGAGAAGATGACCCTTGTTCAGGAGATGATGGACGACTGTAGGGCCATTATGAAGATGACTGGGCGGTCCTCTTCCTTGACCGGCTATGAAAAATGGGAGGGCCAATTCACCGCCTGCTCTGATCAATTTAACAAGAAGATCATGGAGCAGGCAGGCGGCGAGGAGGAGGCGGAGGATGAGGCGTTTGACTCCATTTTCGGGGAGTCAGACCAGGAAGAGGATGACAAGCAGGAGGCAGATGCTGATGAGGAAGAGCCACCACAGGAGGAGGTGGATGCCGAGAAAGAACAGGCGCCGGTTGAGGATCCAAACCAAGCGGCTGTCGACACTAAATGTCCGGCGTGCCGCTGCTTGAATTCCCGTTTTTCTTAAATGTCAACTTTCTTCGGCCTGCGTGCCGCTTGTTCTGTATCTTTACCCGACCAAGGGGTCGGGGTTTATTGACAATTTTAATGTTTAACATTTCTTATGATCTCCTGGCCGACTATTTATATTAAACATCCGGCCTTATTGGTCGTTCTCTTCAATTTTTGGAATTTGAATTTTGCTTCATGAAATTTTGATATGCATTACATGAAATTTTCTAAGTGTAGCTTTCCGTTTTTGCGTTTTTCAAGTGCCGATTATTCTGTTATGCCGATTATTTTTTCCCCTGGCCGGCTGTTCGCCTGGTTTTCTAAGGTTGATGGATTGACTTGGAAATCTTTGATACTCTAAGAAGTATGACTGATTTTTAGGCCAATAAATCACTATGGTGATTGCCCCAAACCAGGCGAACAGACGGCTAATCGACAGGCGGACACTCAGCATTATCTGGCTCCCGGCCTCAAAATAGTTCTTTGATAAACTTCGATTTTGTCACTAAGTTTTGTACTTAGTTTATTTTGTTGATTGTAAATAGTTCGTCTTCTTGGTTGATGTTTTCAATCAAAGTATAATAGGAATAGTGGCCGAATGCCGTCTGTTTGCCGACAAACAGGCGGTCTCATTCGTACCTTTTAAATTCCAATTTTAGATTGTTGAGTGACTATAAGTTAACTTTTTTAGGTTGATTAATCTCCGTCACGTGCACTTGAGTAATAAGAAGAAATAGTCGGTTGTGGCCGTTTGTTGTGCTTGAAACTTAGAGGAATAGTGGTCGAGTACCGTCTGTTTGCCAAAAAAAATAGGGGGCTTGGTTCACACCGTTTAGGTTCCATCTCAAGTTTACCGGAGTGACTATGAGTTAACCCTTGGGGTTAATCAATCTCTGTCACTTTGATTTGAGTGAGAAGAAGCAGGCAGCTTTGGCCTCATGGTACCTCTTTATTTGCCAAGTTTCGCTTGGCTATTTACTCAAATTATGCCGACTGTATTGTCCCAAGCAATAACAGGCGGTTTATGACTTAGATTTTAACTGTCTACCGCGTGTTTACAGTATAGCGGTACGTTTACCTTTGTCTCAGGCCAAACGACTACAAGGTTTCGTTAAGAAACACTCGATAGGGCCGTTTGTTTTTGGTTTATAGAGCAATGTGCCACCCAAATGGGAGATGATCTCTGCAACGAATTCATCCGAATGGATGTCGCCGGATGCCTGCTCTTTTCTTGGGACAGACGTATTAATTTAATTTTAAAAAGATCATCTGGTCATGGGCCTTAGAAAGATTATCCGGCCTGTGGCCTCATTAGATTGTTCAGAAAAGAACAGATTGTTAAGTTATGTAGACTTAACGTTTTTACTCAAGTATTTAAAAGAAATAAGGCCAATTGTGTTCTGCACAGGCGGTTTGCCCCACTGAGGAGACTTGCACAATAATTGAAATAAATTGCAAACTTTATTGATATGTTTACAAATAATTTACAAATCTCAGAAGTATTACTTTTTTAAGTTGTCTACATTCCAAGTTTTGGCTAGCTGCCTTTCGTCTGGTGTTTCTAGGTGGTAGGTGCCGCCTCTAACTTCTTCATATATTCAGTAGGGGTTATCCCAGTTAGGAGTCAGCTTTCCCTGCTCGTTCGCCCTACCGATTGCTTCCATCTTTTGTAACACAAAGTCCCCTACTTTTAGTGGCCTCTTGTGCACTCTTTTATTGTAAGCTCTCTTCATTCTCAGACGATAGATCTCATGGCGCAAGGCTGCATTGCCCCTGCGTTCTGGAAGTGAATCTAATGCTAGCCGCATGGCTTCCCAGTTGGCCTCTTTGTCATTAAGCATGACTCGAAGAGTTGGCTCATAGCGCTCAATAGCCAGAACAGCCTCCGCCCCATAAACCATTAGAAATGGAGTTCACCCAGTCACCCCTTTTTCAGTCGTCCTGATGGCCCACAGTTAATGTGGTAGCTCGTTAGCCCATAGGTCGCCGACTCTTTCAATTTTCTTTTTAATGCCATCAGAGATTAACTTGTTGAATGCTTCAACCTGGCCGTTTGCTTGGGGGCGGCCGACTAATACAAAACAATGAGAGATCCCTTGGTCTCCCAAACAATTCTTGAGAGCAGGCGTCTCAAATTGAGGTCCATTGTCAAAGACCATAAACATGGGCACCCCATACCAAGTGATGACATTTCTCCAGATGAAGGAGATGACATCTTTGGTTTTTGTGCCTTTGACTGCCTCCGCTTCTACCCACTTGGTAAAGTAGTCGACTGGTACCAAAATATATCTCCGTCCGCCTGTAGCAGGCGTATAGGGACCCAGAATGTCCATACCCCATTAAGCGAATGGTACTAGGCTATGGATAGCCGTCAGGTCAGTGGCCGAATGATGGATGAGCTTGCCAAACCTTTGGCACTTGTCACATTTTTTAACCATCTCCATGGCGTCTGCTTCTAGGGTAGGCCAGAAGTAGCCTTGCCGCCTGAATCTCTTTGCTAGGGTCCTACCGCCTATGTGGGAGGCGCAGAACCTTGAATACAAGTCTTGGAGGACCTCTCGGCCCTTTTCTGGGGTAACACACTTCAAAAGAGATTGTAGATAGCCTTTTTTGAAAAGTTCCCCATTATGAATCTCAAAGTTAGACGCACGCTTTTTCATTACAATCATCTCTGGGTAAGTGTCCAACAGGGTGTCGTCTGTTAAGTATGCCCGGATGCCATATGTTTTGGGGGTTTTTGATGTGTCCTGCGGGAGAGTTACAATTCCTAGTAAGAGCAACCGACGCCTATACCTGCAAAACCACGAAGACTCCGGTTGGTGGGAGCTCCGCCTCCGACGATCAAGTCAGTAACATACAGGAGGTAATAAGTGCAGAAATAGTAAATGCTCCTCGCTAATATAGGAGGATTCTGCAATTAATATTGCTCGGTTTTTTGTGTTTGCATTTATGGATGCCTAATAAATGAGGTCTGACCCACTATTTATAGTGGCAGACCAGCACCCCATCTAAGGTTCAAAGGACACGTGTCAATAGGGGATTGGCGCCCTGTTGACTGGCTGTCACGTGTCGCAAGGCCATTGGGCCACTTGTCTAGGGTAATTTTTACCCTAAACATTTGTCCCTCTTAGGTGCTGACGTGGCGGTGCCACGTGGCCCTTGAGACGGTTTCCTCTCTCTCTCTTTTTTTTTTTTTTTTTTTTTTTTGTTGAATTCGAATTTTTGATGTGTAAGAAGCAGGAGGTGCAAAGGCGCGAGGGTTCCCCTTCTGAGGATGGCCTATATATAGCAAACCTCCTCCCCCATGTTCACATTTACATCCTTAAGCAATTTCAAAGATATTAAGTGCAATCGGTTTTGAGAGCAAATTTCTCCAGAAATTTGCCGAGTGCACATCTGGCTTTTCGCTTCTTTCAAAGAATTTCTTGTCGTTTGTGGGTGTTGTGAACAGCTTCACGAATTTGTAGCTGCTACTCAGAGAACACATCTGGCTACGAGGACGCCTGTATCTTCACGATCCACTTGAGGATTTTCTTGTTCGGTCAAGCGGTTTACTCTCCTTCTCCATTTACTTAGGTACCGCCTCTATTCTTTTTAGCTCTTTCATGTATTTACGTTTGTGCTTCTTTCTTGCTTTTTTCTTTATTAGTTCCATAAGTAGCTGGACCCTTTATACCCACACCCGGAACATAGCTTTGAGACCAACCGGTCCCTCAATACGGCTGAGTTTAGGACTTGGGGTGTTGCCTCTAAGCATTGGAATCTTTCCTATCCATCTTCTAATCCGACCGTCTCCGTGTCTGTGAAGGACACAATGGCCAAAACCAGAAAGATAGTTGTGGATCCCAATTATAGAGGCGGAGGCTCAGAAAAGTTGTCGCCTTAGGAGAGGATCCCAGATGAGATGACAAGGGGATCTCCAAGAGGCACCCCAAGCACCCCTAGTGATAGCATTCTAGGGTCTTACAGTGGAGGCGGTGAGGAAGCCGCCTCTACTTCTGGAGCTGAGGATAAAAAAACCTCAGCAAGAAACGAAAAGAACCCCGCTTCTAGTTCCGGATCTAAGTCCAGCTCTGATGGGAGCGACAGTAGCAGCAGCAGCAGCTATCTCATGCCATCTGTGGATAGCGAGGAGGAGGAGAGGCCTACATGGAATAATAAAGGCGACCCTCTCATGATCACTGTATCTGCAAAAGACAGGGCTAACATGCAAATAAATTTAGCCAATTTCATACTCAAGCGGCCCTTGGGAGAAGGGTACAAGTTAGTCGTCCCGCGTGAGATGGGGACCATTGCCTGGGAATACAACCAGCGCAATGCAGACGGTTTCTTTGGCTGCTATGAGGCGGCTTTTTTAGCGGGGCTCCTCTTCCCCCTTCATAACACAATAAAGGCCATACTGAGAGGTTATGGCCTAGGCGTCTGACAGCTTACCCCCAACTCTTGGGTAAATATACTGGGGTATATTGCCGTCTGTGAAATGCAGAACCTGAACCCCGGCTGGGAGTCTTTCGCCCACATGCATTATCTAAGTCGGAGCCCAGGCGGGTGGAAGGCCTGGTACACCTAGACAACATATCCCCAGTACTTAATGACGCTTGACAAGCCGTCAAAGTGGTCGGATTGGAAGAATTGCTTCTACATGGTCAAAGCTCCAACCATGAGGAAAATCGGGAGCTCCGGACGTACAATCGGAAGCCTGAGTTGATTGGGAAAAAAATGTAAAATTCCCCAGATACCGGATGGGGATTACGAAGCTCACCACTTCCAACATCTTAACCGGCGAACTTATTAGTGTACCCAAGAATTGGGTACCCAAACGTGAGTTCCTAAGGGACGAGGCGTTCCTGTCCGCATGCGGGTTGAGCACCATGTTTAAAAAATGTAGGTTGGAGGACTCAGCCGGCCAACTTGTGCAGGATGTATGTTTCTTGCTTCACTTGGTTCGTTTTTGTACTTTTTCTAACCAGGTGTCTCATTGTTATTTTGTAGCTGAAGGCCTAGGCATGTTGCCAA